AAGGTTATCAGTTCTCCTGAACTACGTGGTCAGTTACAAAACAAAATCAATGCAAAAGTAAATTTAAAAAATACATTGCACTTTCTTTCTATGCTGGGTCCTATGAAAATCGAAATTTTATAGGAAATAGAGATACATATGTATGTATGTACAAATGGAATATCGAAGTGTGTTGTCAAATCAATGCGTTGTTGTGAACACATCTACATTATATATTAGGAGGTTCCTCAAAAATAATAAAGCAGCTCAATCGAATTTCGTACAAAAGACTTTTGGTATTTTCTTAAATTTGATTATGGAATATATTTTCAAATCTATATCTTTTATTTTCTTGATGGTGCTGTAGTATTAATATTTTGTTGCCATAAAGATAAAATGGATTCGGATAATTATACTCAAAATGTTTTAAAAGTTTTAAGACAGACTTATAAGTATGTAAAATATCTAATATCATATATATTTATAAGAATTTGTTTTAGAGTAGCTGTTTGCCATTGAATTGGTTATTTGCAAAGTAACTAAAGAATACAAAAATATAAAATTAAACAAATTATTTAAAATATATTATCAGATATACTACTGAAATATAAAAAATCCAAGAATGTCTGTCTTAATAAAATGTCATAGTTGCAACCGAAATGCAAACAAATTCCATACCAGAATGAGCAAACAATCATAAATCTATTTTTAAAATAAAAATAATAATTTTATCTTTGTTGTATAGTTTGGCTGTAGGCTTTTTAAATAATAAAAATAATAATTTTAATTTATATTAAACGAGGTAGTAATTCCCAATCAAAATACCGACTTTGATTTGTTTCTTTGATAACTAATCGGCATTTATGGTGTATCTTCAAAGGCTTAGATTAAAACAAATAAAATTTTATGATGGTGAATAAATCAATTACAATAAATCATTTTTTGTTACACATGAAAACGTTTTCAACTGATAATTTGGGAAAATAATATCTACCCTAGTGTACAACAGTTGGTAAAAATGTCAATATTGAAGTGTACAAAAACAAAATAAATTTTAGTCAACCCCATCGAAGACCGGTAAAGAGATTTCTTATATAATTAAGAGAAAATATTTCAATCGATCTCTTTAAGAAAATTATTCCTCTAACAACTAGTGTATTATAAATTTTAAATGTATTTTAAAATCTAATAAATTGTACGCATCCTTTAACAGGTCAAAATTAATGTACGCTTAAATTATATTTCTAAATGTAAATTATAATCACAAATAAGGACTTTGGAATTTTTTGGTGGTAATGATGTTTTTAATTTTTATTAATTTTTGAAGCCGATAATAATTTTTAAATAAAAATATTCAATGTCGGGTAATGTGCACCACTAAAAAAAGTGGGACCTTTTCATGAGGACGAGTTGGAAACATGGGCGCATTTAATATGCGAAGAGGTATTCTATCCTCTGAAAACTCGATATGCGAAATTACAGGTGCTTTGGTTATATAATGAAGCAAGGACCTTCAAAATACCGCAAATGAGGCGATACCCTTAAATGGGGGCTTTCCAAAACATGAACACATATATTTTTGCATTCATTGTTACCCAAGAGAGCAATAAATTGAAATTTATCACAACCAATCCACAACCTACCTTTAACTTATTGATCCTCATTACCCACACATACTGGTCCACTTTACCCGCCAAGTTATTTTTATTCACAGTTTAGAGTTTTTTGAAATATAATGCAATAACATTTTTATATACAAATATATAAAATATTTGGCCTGGAATATCTTTAGCCAACAAATCTACTATGTTGTGAAAACAATTTGTTTTTATTTTGTACCGTTATCACGCCCACAATATCAAAAAAAGAAAATTACCCGAAGTTACTCTACACTAGTTATGTTTGACATGATTGTCGGAATACAAAAAAATGTTTAAAGAAAGAAAACGTTCACTGAATTATGCTTGCGCCCTTGTTTACGCTGCTAAAGAACAAGATTACCATATATAAAAAAATATATTGCGGGTCGGAATTTTTTTAAACCGAGATTTTATGATCGCTGTTCAAAAGGTGCCCCCCTCTCCCCTATAACATAACCCATTAAAACGAACTATGTGAATAGAGAACTGCCTTCCCCGGTCCTAATAACTTTACACCTATTTTTCATACAATCATTATGCCCGCCCATCATTTATTTTGTTTCGAAACTGGAGTAGGTACTATAAGTTCATGCATATTGTAAATCTCATTGGCCTTTAGGCTTTTTTACAAAATAAAATATAAAATAAAATAATAAAAAAAAATAATGTTGGTTCAAATAGTACACATGTGACCTTGCCTCATTTAATTTGTACCAATTTTTAAAGGCAAATAAAAACAAAAAAATACTCATCTCACATGATTTAATATTATAAAAATGTGTATGCATTTCAACTATTCGTTCAAAATATTTACTGACTTATTAGAAAAACAACAAAACAAAAACTTGTGAAACGATTTATTGGCTATTATTAAGCCCTGCTACAAACGCTATTAGAGAAACAATTAACGCTTTGAATTTACTTTTGTACAACTTTTAATCGAATCAACATGTATTGTTCGCTCACACTTTTGTGTACACTTATTAAAAATAGGAAGTGTTAAAATAGGTTTTGGTCGGCAAACATTATTATGAAAATTGTCTAAACAAAACTATTTTCCAGTTTTTAATATGGTCACTTAAAAGAGTATCGGGGAAAACTAAAAAATAATTTTGTGTATACCAGTAGTCGGCCGATATTTCGTAAAGGTATTGTCCTTCAGTCTTGCAAAATTCAATAAACAAGGATAATAATGCACAATTTACATTCATTTATTATGTAATATTAGATTTTTGTAATTCATTCAACAAAGTATTATATTTAAAATTATGTAAAATTTTAATTCCCTTGTCATCTTAAATTTATGTTACCATTCACTTTTGTTAGACAGTGTATGTGTTGTAGATTTTTGGATTTTGCATATTTGCATATTTTTTAATAATGAAGATATCGAAATTCTGATTGGACACAAATTCGTTTCAAAGGATTTAGAATTATTTGAAGGGTTCATATTTTTTGCATATTTGCATATTTTGCATATGCACGAGATATGCAAAAAATATGCAAAATATGCAAAAAATATGCAAAATATATGCAAAATATGCAAAAAATATGCAAAATATGCTAGGTCGATATGCAATAAATATGCAAAATATATGCATAAAATATGCAAAACATATGCAAAAATATGCAAAATATGCAAAAAATATGCACGGTATGCTAGGTCGATATGCGATAAATATGCAAAATATATGCAAAAAATATGCACGGTATGCTAGGTCGATATGCAATAAATATGCAAAATATATGCAAAATATACGCAAAATATGCAAAAAATATGCAAAAATATGCAAAATATATGCAAAATATACGCAAAATATGCAAAAAATATGCAAAATATGCAAAATATGCAAACATATGCAAAATATGCAAAAATATGCAAAATATGCAAAATATATGCAAAATATGCAAATATATGCAAAAATATGCAAAATATATGCAAAATATGCAAAAATATGCAAAATATGCAAGCATATGCAAAATATGCAAACATATGCAAAATATATACAAAATATGCAAACATATGCAAAATATGCAAAATATATGCAAACATATGCAAAATATGCAAAAATATGCAAAATATGCAAACATATGCAAAATATGCAAACATATGCAAAAATATGCAAAATATATGCAAAATATATGCAAAATATGTGCAAAATATATGCAAAATATATGCAAACATATGCAAAATATGAGCAACATATTTCACATATGCAATCATTTTAATCAAAAAAAAAAAAAAAAATCATGGTAGTTTTCGAATTTGTGTGCTTTCTTTATTTTTAACCTATAGAAATCTAATTGTGTATGTATGCGTTTCATGGTTCAACTGTTAGATTTTTGGGGCATTATGAAAAATTTGCTAAATATATGTATAAAACATGCAAACATATATAACCGTTATATGGCGATATACTAAAACGTGGACCGATATATCCCATTTCCAATACCAAACATCCTAGGAGTAATAATAATATATGTGCAAAATTTCAAAGTTCTATCTTTAATATTGCGACCTAGCATACCGTGCATATTTTTTGCATAATTTGCATATTTTGCATATATTTCGCATATTTTTGCATTTTTTGCATATGTTTCCATATTTTGCATATGTTTGCATATTTTGCATATTTTTGCATATTTTTGCATATTTTGCATATATTTTGCATATTTTTGCATTTTTTGCATATGTTTGCATATATTTTGTATATTTTGCATATTTTGCATATGTTTGCATATTTTGCATATATTTTGCATATATTTGCATATTTTGCATATTTTTGCATATTTTGCATATATTTTGCATATTTTTGCATATTTTGCATATGTTTGCATATTTTGCATATTTTTGCATATTTTGCATATTTTTGCATATTTTGCATATCGACAATGCATATTTTGTATATTTTTTGCATATATTTATCGCATATCGACCTAGCATACCGTGCATATTTTTTGCATATTTTGCATATTTTTGCATATTTTGCATATTTTGCATATTTTTTGCATATTTTGCATATTTTTTGCATATTTTGCATATTTTTTGCATATTTTGCATATTTTTTGCATATATTTTGCAAATATCGATCAATTAAAGCATGAAACGCCTAAATACAAAATTTGAGTCCAATCGGATAAAGCATAAAAAATATGCAAAAATCCGAGGTCTAATGATAAGACAAGAACTGTTGACATTCGTTTATAACCAAATGATGATATGGTCCCAACACTTGGATTAATTTAACAGATTTAAATTGTTTCGACGAGAAGAAAAAAAAAACAATCTTTCCAACTATAAAAAACCGGTTATTTGGAAAAAATCTCTCCCCGAACATACATTAAACATTTAATAAGACCGTATTGATAACGTTTCTTTCCAGATGTCCAATAATAATGACAACGGTCACAGTGAATCATCCAATGGGAATGGTGTAAACTTTTCCGATGAGACGGACTGCGGATTGACCATGAAAACATCATTAAAATCATTATCCTCGCTGGACACATGTATACCATCATCGCCAACAAAAAGCTCATCCTTGAAGCGAAATACCAGGCAAGTCAATGAAATGAATATTCTGAAAAACGCGTTTTAATGATATAATTCTTTGTGGACAACCTACAGTTATGGAAAACTGATGCCAGCCGAAACAAAGGAGACGCGAGTCAGGGTTATATACACAGGCGGTACGATTGGCATGGTCCGAAATGAGCGAAATGGTAAATTGGTAATGTCGAGTGTGGATTTATGAAAATTTTTAATTTATTTGATTTGATTCTTTCAGTTTTGGCTCCCATGCCAAACGCTTTGGTAAAAAGGATTCGAAAGTATCCCAATATGCATGATGAGGAATATGCCCAGAAACGATTTGGTCCATCTGCGTCAATGGCTCCGCTTGTCCTGCCCTATGTTCAGGATGAAAGTAATCGTGTTCTTTACCAAATAACAGAGTACAGTCCACTGTTGGATTCAAGTAATATGACAATGAATGATTGGGCGAGAATTGCAAAGGATATCCAGGTATGTTTTTAATAATTTGCAACACACTATAAAGCAATGGAGGTACATGGTATATTACTTCCTCCCTGTAGCAATCGTATGAATTCTTCGACGGCTTTGTGGTTTTGCATGGCACTGACACACTGTCCTACTCCGCATCGGCGCTATCGTTCATGTTGGAAAATCTGGGAAAAACTGTGATAATTACTGGGTCTCAAATACCCATATTTGAGACTCGAACAGACGGCAAGGATAATTTTACATCAGCGCTTATTATAGCTGGAAATTACGTGATTCCCGAAGTTTGTGTTTTCTTCGGCAATAAACTAATGCGCGGAAATCGCACCGTCAAAGTGAGTTCAAATTCTCTGGATGCCTTTGACTCTCCCAATGTACCACCGCTCGCACGCATTGGCATCAATGTGGACATTGACTATCGCCTTATATTTAGGCCCTGCAAAGTTTCGCGTTTCAACGTTCATCTGCAATTGGATGAGAATGTCGGTATTCTGCGTATATTTCCCAGTATCTCAACCTCAACTTTTCGGGCATTTTTGGCACCACCCATGAAGGGAGTTGTATTGCAGTCTTTCGGTTCCGGAAATGTACCAGCCAACCGCAAAGACCTATTGGACGAGCTCAGGGACGCGTGTAATCGTGGTGTTATAATTGTGAACTGTACACAGTGCCCAACAGGCTCAGTGGCCGAAATCTATCAAACGGGCAAAGTACTTTTCGACATGGGCGTTATTCCCGGTTTTGATATGACACCGGAAGCAGCATTGACTAAATTATCGTATGTTTTGGGAAAAACTGAATGGTCACTAGAAGTCAAGAAACAAGTAGGTGTATTTTAAACTGTCGTTGTAGTTAAACAGCCTCGTAAGCGATTTTTTTCTTTTGAAGATGATGCAATCCAATCTTAGGGGTGAACTAACATCTAACGCAGGCCCAAAAATGGAAGAATATGATTTGGTGGATGCTGTGGCCAGATCATTGCACCTTTCCTCGCCTGAGGAACTAAGTCAACTTGGTGCGACACTCTTTCCTGCCATGGTTAATGCTGCTGTTGCAGCAGGTGACATTCAAAAAGTGAGTTCAATAGCAAAAATGTATTTTTTTACGATCGTCGATCCTCATTTTAATCTTAATTTATTTTTTCAGCTTAATAATCTCAAGGCTTATGGTGCTGACTTGTCTGGTGTCAACCAGGATAATCGCACGGGCCTGCATTTGGCTTGCCACAAAGGCAATTTGGCTGTAGTAAATCATTTATTGCTTAATGGAGTTTCCGTACACATAAGGGACATTCACGAACGGACACCTCTCTTGGAGGCGGTAACCACAGATAACCATGAAATTATCAATTTGCTCATAACCTGTGGTGCCCATTTGACTGGATCCTCGAGAGCTGTTGGTGAGCAGTTGTGTGCGGCAGCAGCGAGAGGTTCACTTTTACGACTTCAGTCCTACCAGCTGGCTGGTGCGGACCTTTCACAACCCGATCCCTCTGGACGAACGGCGCTTCATGTCGCCGCCCAACATGGTTATGAGGAAATTGTTAGATATCTCCTTGATTATACCGATAATCTAAAAGAAACCGATATGTTGGGGCTTACAGCGTTAGATTATGCCGAACGTGCCGATCAGCAACATATTGTTGATATACTTAGCAGTCAAATGAATGGCGATTAAAATTGTTGGTAACATCGTTGTTAATACTCGGTGCTAACTTAATGCTTCCTAGAACATACATAAACTGCATATTAACTCGAAATTTAATATTCATAGGTGTCATTTTAAGCCAAACGTACGAACGCAAATTACTTAATGATACCAATTGTCAAATTAAATTATCTCAAAAATTTTATCAAATATAGTCCATGATGATTGTAACATACCAAAAAAATAAAATGAATGTTTATTCATATAAATGAAAATATGAGTTGGCTATGCGGAAAGCGAATCCTGCAATTATTGACTTTACCAAATTGCAGTGTCGTTTAGTTCACACTAAATGGACGAATGGGTCATACGCTCTCTTTATAAACCTCGTACAATGTAATTATTAATATATAAAATCCGTTATTTAATTAAAGCAATATTTATTTGTAATAAAATCCGATTATATTTATATAAAATAACAAACCTATTTTAGAGATATCTTATTTGTTTTCTGTATTATTTCTTTTCTAATCGTAAAAGCTTAAATCATACAAACGTGACCTTACAAACATTCTTCTTTGTAAAATGAATCCTATTGACTATGTTGGCATAAGTATGTGTGTTTCGTATAAAGAAATGCGGACATCTAATCAATATCCAGTTCTGCAACGCAGCTGTGCGGCCTTTATAAATTTATTAAATTTATACTTAGGGACAATATTTACGATGTGTTATTTCTAATTGTAAGTGGTGTTGTACTTGTTGAATTGGGGAAGCGTGCAAGGAAACGGGGTAATCGCAAGAATTTAATTGAAACTAAACGATTGTCGAACCACCACCCGTTGATTTCGTTGTGCACAATACCGGCGTCTTTTTCAGTGGCACAACGAATGTATACACAACAGTTTTGCCGATCCAACTGAATATCGTAGATTTTGCACTGAGGTCCCACTTTTTCCAGAATGGATTCAATTACAGACTGCAGATCGGGTTGGCTGGTTTCATCGAACATGTGACGAACTTTCAGACAGTTTGTTGGCGGATCCAAGATTTTATTCACATTATCAAATGCCGGGCTTTGCCATTGCTTCTTTTGTGGCTTTCCGGTGTCTGGTTTTTCATACGTTGTTGACGATAGAAAACTGGATGATGGTGAGGGACAAACGGACTCACACCATTTCATAGTGCGAAACTCTTCACCGTTGTGCAAAATTGTACCGAATTGTATGCGGCTGTCGTTGCACTCCAATTTGTGTATGGCCTCATTCCAGGCACCCAACAGCGATTTTCTCTTATTGAGCGGAATCAGTTTATCCCGCAGGTGGTGAATGATAACCTCCCCTGAGTCATTTTTCAGAGAACGTCTATGCATCAGTTCCTTAATTATTTCCTTGCAAAAGTTTTCCACAGTTTTGATTTTTCTTTCACTTCTTTGTCGCAGTAACCGCCAGATGACAAAAATAGCCGCACATACGACAGCTATTAGAAATGTTGTGCCAATTATGAAGAGGAAACGTTGCAGTTTGTTCATCAGTATACATTTCAGTGGTAGGTATGGCTTTAATAGACTGAAATGTACATCCCTGTATATATCAATCACGTCGGGGTCTTCCGATCTGTTGAATACTTGAATTTTCCACTGAGGATTCTGCTCAATTAGATACAGTGCCGCTTTCAGGCTCTTCAATAACTTATGGCTGTCGGAACTTCGTTTCCTGTATAGGTGTTTTAGGAAATCGGAGACTGTAACTTCAGGACTCAATTCCTTGTTTTGACAGTAATGGACCTCGGTATTGTGTTGAAGCAGCTGTATGAGTTCTTTGCATAATGTCAACGAGGGTGCAATTAAATCGTGGGTAATGCAATCTATAGATGGCCTGGCCAAGGACAAGCCCTCCCTGTGTTCATCGCATAAAACAAATGAGGTACTTTTTTCTAGCATTGTACTTGGCATGTCCGGTGGTTTGGTCATATACAAAATCGACAAGACTACGAAGAAAAGTCCCAAGCAGCACATTAAAACATATGGCACCGATGATTGTTTCAGTTTTCCTTTTATATTGAGTTTACTCCAAATCACATCCCGAACAGATCGTGTCTGTTTCCTCTTGGTCAATGTATATCGAGTGGGGCTGCCGCTGTCAGAATCCGAATCCGTTGAATATGAAAAGTGGTTCTTTGCCGCATACGAAGGTGTGGCATTGTGTGTACCACCTCTCAAGGAAATATCTCTCAGCTTTAATAGTCTACTTACCACGCCAGAAGATTCGCTGTTTCCACTGTAGGGTGGTGTTCGATTAATTTCGCGCATGTTTGAGGATTCAAGTCGTTTTATTGGACGTTGGACATCATTGGCCAAGATTGGCGGCGGCACATATATTTTTGGAGATGATGATTTCGTTTGTGGCGGTTTATTTCTTTCATCCGACGACTTGCCGTAGTCTCTGTATATATACGACATACCCTCATTCGATAAATAACTATGCTTTTGTTCTATCTGATCTGTTCGAAATTCAGACGATGTTGTACCACCATTAGTATAGGACATATTACTCAAGGTGTCCGAGGCATTGGAAGAGGGACGTGCAAACGAATGATGTGTACGTCTCCTCCCTGGAGAAACATTACGCTTTGTAGATGAAGATGCCGTTGTTGTTGAGGGCATTGTTTGCAGGCTACGCCTATTCGATCTGCCGGTCGAGGAGTTTGCATTGTTTAGGGCATGGTATTTGAGTTTTTTTATAAGTAGATTCCTTGTGGTCTCAACAATGGGCACAACGGGAATACCATATTTTTTTAGTTCCTGACGTAATTCAACGTCACTGAGGTTGTCAAAGTACGCTTCATTCATTGGAGAAGTGACTAGCCTACAAAAAAAGAGCATCATATGATTCAAAGACATTCATTAGATATATTTTATATCTGCAGCGCATGTGAGGATTTGGTATATTTTCTACAATGTGATTTGGACAAACCCGTCTACCGGAAAGGATTGGATTCACACGCAACAAGTTTCTTCCAAGAACGCTGCGATGCTGCTCGAGTTCTTGGCAAATGTCAACGAAGTACAAACCACCTTTCCGAATAGACAGGCTGAATATTGACCATTAATTTTACAGCCAAACCACGAACATGCGACAAATTGCAAAAACAAAAGTATTTATTTGCCTCCTGTACATGAATATTACCTACAGTATAATCTGAAAACTTAGTTTTTAATATAATATTTAACTAAAAATAAAACAACACTACAACTATAACCAACTAATGTACCCAAATACGAATACCAAGTACTCGTGAACAAAAATTCTTCTTATTATTACCGACAAAAAATACAATTGATATCTTATAAACACGGTATAATTATTACAAGTTAGGTATGTTCTATCAAATCGAAATACATATTTAATTTTGAATTAAGAAGTTTGTAAGTTTACAAATTCTTTTTGATATGAAATGTTTCTTTTGTAAACCTTATATACGACTGAAGTTTTTTAATTTCAAAAAAATTACGGGTCCCACAGATGACTACGTTTTGAGCAGCATTGTATACTTAAAATTTTACTAAAAATCCGAAAACTGAATGGAATGCCAGGTTTTATTTTCAAAATCGATATGGGAATCTGATTTGCATATTTTTTCATGCACACATCATAGATTTCCTCTTACCAATGTTGAAAAATTCCTCAGTAAACAAATGGTTTTTAAAACACATTTTTTATGTTTTTCAAAACATTACACACACACACATTCACACATTTTGTATACGACTTTGGCATAACAAGCCACAATATGACAAAAAATTGTAATTTATAAGTTGCTTTGGCCTACCTTGAATAATTGTACCTGATGATTACAATTTTTTCTTTTGTGTCCCCCCTGTTCTGTCAAAACTATTACTCAAGGTGTATATGTGTTTGTAATGTCTTGAAAATTATAAACGAAATTAAAAAAATTAAATTCAGTAGTAATTAATATTCAACATTACAGTACTCAGAGAAACATCGTTCGGAGAATTGGGAATAATTCCTATTATTATCATGGTACAATAGTAAATTTTTTTTGTCACAGCCATATACAAAATGTGATACTGTGTGTGTAGTGTTTTGAAAAATATAACAACATATTTTCGAAAATCCATTTCTTTGAAGATGAATTTTACAACATCTGTGAATGATTCAATATGTAAATCATATCCCCAATTCAATTTTGAAAAAATGTAAAATGTTGTAATGGTAAAATATTAAAAATATGTCAAATGAACAGAACGACTTTTCTTCTTTTTGGAACCTCCAATTAATGTTACATATTTTGAATGTCATCCTCATGGTGGAAGGACAAAATAATCAGCTGAACTTAGCATCGTTTTAAGTTGTTATAAAAGAAAAATATATTTGAAATTTTAGAGAAAAATCACTTACAAAATTCCAGATTTCCAAATTTCTCAAAACAAGGTGGCAATACTGTACGTAGGTATGTATTTATTTTAATCAATGATATCAATTCACTGGTAACGTTGAATAAGAAGAAGCTCAACTACTACTGTCACAGTTTTTTTGCTGACATTGCCAGCGATTATTATTGTTTTTTATTTTTAATAAAATTGTTCTTTAAAATTATGGTAAAAAATTATAACTTATTTCCTATTAATGCCAAAATCATGGACTAACCATTGCTGCAATTCTATTTCTCGATAACTATTGTTTAAACCCAGTGAAACTACTTACTTTCTCAACCTGGAAAACGAGAAATGAAAAATTGTTAGAAATGAACACGTCACAACGTATCAATTCATAATTCTTTCGACATTCAATAAGTTGATGTCATATATAAAAAAATATTGGACATTATTTTGCATTTTCACGATTACTGTTTTAATGCAGATCATTGTTGAAATATCTGAACTTTTATCTAGAGGTTGTGTTCTTTTATTTTCAGTACAAGTAGCCAATGTTCAGCATATTATTTTTACGAATCTATATTGAACAAGAGAAAACGCATACAACGTCCACTTATAAATGTGAGATAAAGTAGTCCACATAGCAAGCAAAGATTGTATACAGTGTGCCACAACTTGCAAAATATAGAAATTGACACGTACGAAAATGTCCTCCGAACCGAACGAATCCCTTCAACAGACGAACGACATCAGTAATCTGCAGGAAAGTTTTCTGCAACAGCAGGTAAGATTAATATTTTATTCAACTTGAAATAAAGCCCTACTGAAAAGTGCATATTTCAGGAAAAAATTTCCGCATTAAAAGAACTGGTTCGAAAATCCGGAGCAGCCCATGGTACATCGAAAAGTGCTGCCCAAGAGAAGGTCAAAAATATAGCCGAAAGACTAATGAAGTCCAAGGCCAAGTCAAAGCAGGGCTTAAATGTTTCAACATACTCGACAGAAGTGACTTCACATGAAGCCTCTTTGGGTTACGAGGAGAAGCCCAGTTTCCTGAATATTTCGCAAGCTTCACCTATGCCAAGCCATGCATCCACGCCAAACCCAACCCCTATTAAAATCCATACCCTTACACCTTCAGGCTCAGTCAATACTCCCGGAAGTGAAAAAATTGCCTTGATGCGACAGCAATTGGAACAGAATAAACTGCGAATGGCACAGAAAGCGTCAAGCAAACAGCATTTAGAACAGTTGGTATCACAGCTTAAGGAGAAGTTTGATTCGACGCAACAGTGTTTAGAAAATACTTCCGAGTTGGGCAGGTCCATGTCAGATCTTAATCATCTTATATATACGCCAACCAGCAGGGAAAGGCACAAATCTGCCACGGACCTTACAACGCAAAACTTTAGCTTGGAAAAAGAGCGAATCAAGTTCTTGGAAAACAGATGTCGCTTGCTCGAAAAGCAATTGGAAAAGGAAAAACAAGGAAGCGGCAATCGCAGCTATAGTCAGGATGCTGAAAATAAAATTCAAGAATTAGAAAAGATGTTGGCCACTCAGCAGTCCATGTTCGATGAAAAAGAGGCTACATTGAGGAATGAAATAAGTCAATTGCAGCTTCAAATTTCTGAGTACCAATCCGATTCCCGACCAAAACCGGAAAACTACGAAATGTCAGATGTTAGTGAAAAAATAGAAAAATTGACAAAAGAAAATTCACGTCTGTTACAGGAAATTGAAAAGTTGTCATCGGAAAAATACCGTGTTCAAGATATCGAGGAAACCAGCAAACTGCGAGAAGAAATTTGTCAACTCAAAGAACAATTAGACGCTTCAAGGCAAAAGGATTCTGCTGAATCTACTGATTTAAGTACAGAAAATGAACTACTGAAATCAGAAGTGGAGAGTCAACTTAATCGCATAAAAGAACTTCAGGAAATTAACGATGTATTGGAGACGGCTCGTTGTGATTTAACCTCCAAAACAACACAGCTCGAAGAACAGGTAAAAGAGTTACAGGCAAACGTAATTGTTCTGCAGGAAAAACTTAAATGCACCGAAGAAAAATGCCAGGAATTGCAAGCAGTTTCAGATGCCCCCAACGTTTCGGATTCCACAAAACCCGACACAGACACCCAAGTTAAGGCAGAGATGGCAAAACAGATCCAAGAGCTAATGGATGAGATCGCAATATTAAGAGTTGAGAACACTAAACTTCAGGAATCAATATTGGAAAATGAAAAAATTGAAGTAAACGATTCTTCCATTGCGGAAAAAATAAAACATTTGGAAGCCACCATCGAATCGCAGAGAGAAGATTTGCTAAAAACCCAAGAAACCCTGAGGAAAAACGAAGAAGAACTAATGGAAAAGACCATAGAACTAAATGTATTGAACGCAAACTTTAAAGTTCTAGAAGAAAAAATGGAAAAGACTACTAAAGCCAAGCCACTTTTCTCCACATCTGGAACATCTGGCCAGCAGGACAGCGATAACACAGAACTTGAAATGGAAAATCAGCAGCTTAAACAAAAATTGGACGAATCCAATAAAGCTATGATTAAATTGAAGCTGAAATGCAAACAAACCGAGAAACAAATAGAAAAACTGAAAAAGGGGTCAGATCTTCACGGAGAGGTAGTGCGATTGGGCAAGGAGAAAGAACAATTGCAACAGAAGATTACAGAACTTGAGGACGAGAAAGGACAGTGGCAGCTGACACAAATGGAGCACACACCTTCCGCATGTTCGCATGACACCATCTTAAAGGAATACAAGGAACAAGTGGATGCCCTCTCGGCAGCGTTGCAAGAAAAAGAAAAACAATATGAGACGTTGAAACAAGGTGAAAGCACTCGCGTTAAATCCGAGTTGACAGAAATCCAATATGAAGAGCAAATCAAGGAGTTAACGGAAGAGGTTGCATCGTTGCGCACTGAATTGGATTGCAAGGAGAAAGCACTGCAGGCGGCCAATGAAGCCATTGAATTAGTTAAACAGCAAAAGGAGGAACTGGACAAAAAACTCGAACATTACTTAAATGAAAACATTGAGCTATTGGAAAAGGTTGAGAAACTCAGTAAGTCATCCTCTTCAGCCGAATCAATAGAAATCGTCGAAAGACTTACGCAGCAGGAGAAGCAGGAACTCGAAGAATTTAATAAACGTCTGGAAACAGGGGAGACAAGCCAGTCCTCCGATATGGCATCGCACAAAGATTCAGTCAACGAATTAACTCAAACGGAAATGAATCCAGAGCTAACTGAAAGCCTCAACAAGTTACGTGAAGAGAGTTCAGAACTGATGTCCAAAATTGAACTTTTCACCAATGAACGTCGCGAAGTCTTAGAAAAAATGGAACATTTGACTTGCGAAAATCACGAACTTTTGCAGCGCATAGAAGAGCTGACCAAGGAAAAAGGCGATTTGGAGTCGAAATTGCAATCAGCCAAGAAGAAGCAGGATGACCTGGTGCATAAACTGGAAAGCGCTAACAAGGAAAAGAACACCCTCGCTGTACAAATGGCCGAATCAAAAGCAAACAAAAATCAACTCTCGCAGGAATTAACATCACTGCAGCAATCCTCAGAGGTGGTGCCTGCCATTGAGAATGGCGAATCCCTGTTCGAAAAGTGTGAAAAGTCCCTGTCAAAATTGAACTGTGAGTTGGAAGCATATCGCAAGGCAAACGATAAGAAGTCCAAATTTAATGCCTCTAAAAAATTGGCCAAGGAAGCAGAAAATGCGCACACACAACTAAGTGAGTTGTTGGTCAAGGTAAAGGATGCCAGCAGTGCTGTGGAAACGGTTACCGTTGTCGAAACTGTTGTAGCTGTGACAGCATCGAATGGCAAAGCTTTAGCAGAATATGAACAGCTCACAGCCCAAAATCGGGAACTTAAAGCATCAAATATGGAACTGCGAAGACTGCTGGATGAAGCCAAATACCAAAGTCAGGAAGACCAAAGCGACAACAGATCCTCAGTTGATCGTTCTGTTGAACAAGGAGTAGGTGAACCTGAACTGGACAACAAACTAAAAGAGGCTGTGCAACAGATAGAGAGCTATGAACAACAACTGACCGATTTGCAATCTAAAGTTGAGGATCTAAGCCGTGAATTGTACGAAGCACGTACTGCTGGTTCAGAGAAATCCGATGAAATAACAAAACTCACCGAAGAGCTAGCCAATCTGCGAAAACTTTCCGAAGATTTCGATCGCGTTATTAACGACAAAGAGATGGCCCATGAACAACAAGTCGAACAGTTGACGAGACTACGTAAGCAGCTCGAATCCAAATGTGAGACTTACGAACAAGAGATGGAAATTCTGCAAACTCTTGTCAGTGAGCAAAAGCAACAGCTAATTGAAGCCTACAAGGAGCACGAACACGAAATGAACGAGAAGCTCCTGGCATTGCAACAGTACGAGGAACAAGTGCGAAGCCTCAAACAGGAACTGGCCGAGATGAAGCAAAATTCGTCATTGGCTGGAAATGAATTGACACGAGAATTGCAGAGTGAGTGCGACAAACTGAGAGATGCCTTGAAGATCAATAAGAATTTGGTACAGGAGCAACTCAATGAACTGTCGAACAAGCAAGACACTATAGATACCCTAAATCAGCAATTAATTGACCTTTACAAAACCATGGAAGATAATTCGAATAAAATAATTGAGAAAGAGGATGAAATCGTCGAACTTCAGGAGGAAATAGACAGTAACAGGCAATTGATGCAGCAATTGGAGTCGAAATTGGAGAGTTCGGAGCATGAACGTCAACAACACTTGCAACAACTGTCTCTAATGAAGGGGCAACTTGAAGACATTGAACGTCGCTACCAGGAACAATCGCAGCAGCTGACACAAATGCAGGTCGGGCGTGATCAGCTGGAGCAGCGTAACAAGGAACAATTAGAAAAACTTAAAAAATATGCCGCCAATTTGAAGAAGAAAGCACTTCAATGCCAAGAGTTCGAAAACAAACTCAAAGAAGTTCAGGTCCAATTGTGCGACAATAAGGAAATAGAAGAACTCAAAAACGCTAATAAAACATTGATGCAAGAACTTGATTCGACCAAAGAACAGTTCAATCTAACCAGGCAACAACTTGTCTCCAAGGAAGAAGAACTGGTAGATCTTGCCAATATTAGAAAGACTTTGGAACAGGAAGTGCGACAACTGCAATTAGCTATTGACGAAAAAGAGACATCCATAAAACACCTGCAGCACATTCAATCACAGCCACCAATCTCAGCCGTCGATGTAGACGAATTTGAGCAGTTGAAACAGGAGCAGATGCTCACTCAGATTGAACTTGAAGATTTGCGTCTTGAAACACAAACTGCTCAGAAGACCATTGCCAAGTTGGAACAGGAGTTGAAAACTGCAAGGCAAGAGGCCTCTGACTGGGGTGACTCCGGTGAGATTGAGACCTTACGACTAGAGCTGCACTCGGCTAAGAATGCAAACACAAAACTAGAAGGTCAATTAGCGGAGTATGCTCAGAAGCTGATCCAGCTAGAAAGCGAATTAGATGCAGCCAGGCAAGAAACGTCGGATTGGGGCGATTCTGGTGAAATTGATAGCTTACGTCTCGAGTTGCATACGGCTAATAATACAATAACAAAACTAGAGGGCCAGCTGGCAGAAACTGATCAAATTCGGGAGGAACTTTTGTGCACTCAAGAAAATCTAGCCCTGAAGGTTCAAGAAATCAGTGAATTGAGGCAGTCTATAATGGCCTTAGAATTGCAACGTGATGTGCCAAACAATGCTGGGGGCAACAAAAACATTGAGCAATTGTCGAAAGACTTAGATGAGAAGAACAATCAACTTGACCAACTCTTGGCAACACTAGAAGACAATAAAAAGCTTATTGCTACACTGACGAAAGAAAATGATGAATATCTTCAAACAATTAACAACATGAACGAAGAGTTGCAAGCGGAGAAAAATGCCAAACAAACGCATGACGCAGACGAAATTATAACGCTCAGAAACGAGCTGACAACGCAAGAACAACGTCTGAGAGAAGTCTCAGAGGAGCTGAAAGCCAAATCCCTCAAGTTCGAAAAGTCTAAAGCTGTCATCAAGGAGCGCAACGGACAGATACAACGTTTACAAACGCAACTTAAGGACTTACAAGATAAATTGTCAACAATGCCAGAGGAAGAAGTAGCCACAACTGCAAATCAAACCGACATTGGTGTTGTCAACAACCAATCATTGAAGTCAGACCTCGAAGCTCTGCAAGCAGCCTATAATCAACTTAATGACAAATACAACTCTGAAAAGACAAGTTTCCAACAAACCATAACACGCCTGGAAACCCTTCACGACGGCATTCAAGCCAAACTGCAGGAAGACATGTCATACATTGAGTCTCTGGAACAGGAAAATGCTAATTTCAAGGAAAAAATCGGTCGCCTGCAGGAATGCGTAGCATGTTTTGAAGAACGCAGAGCTTCAATGGAACGCAAAGTAAATCTGATGGATGCTCAATTGCAATCTACTTCAGAAGAACATGCTAAGGCAGAGGATGAGCTAATCTACCGCTTGAATATGCTCTCCGAACACGACGAAGTAATAGCGCAACGACTCATCGAGTCACAAAGTGAAAAAGAAGAAATGGAGGAGAATCTGCGCAAACTCCAAACCGACTACAACGTATTACAATCCAAATACGTCAAATTGGAGAAAGAATATGCGGAATTCAAGGAGGAAACCAGCAATGGATTTGAGCAGGAATTGTCAGTTTTAAGAGAACAACTTTCCAAAGCCGAATCCGACTTAGAACGACAAAGGGCTGTTTACGATGGCAAGTTGGCATCTAAGGCTACAGAATTGGACGAAATGGAATGCGAGTTAAATGATCAACTGCAACAACTGAATGAAGAGAAGCGTGAACTAGCCGAAAAACTCGAAAGATTGACTGACAAATGTGCAGACCATCAAAATGAAATTTTGCGACTTCAAGAAAATCTCAATACTGTGGAACAAGCCAAGTCAGAACTGGAGCGTGAAACCTCGTGGCTTAGAATGCAGAGTGAAAACTCCCAGCAAGATCTGTACGATTTGCAGGAGTTACGCATGCAGTCCATGCAGGACAAGACCGAAATTGAGAACTTAAGACACCAAATTGAAACGTTATCGTCGAACCATGAAAGCGAATTACAGGCTTTGCGTATCCAAATATCTGAGCTAGATACGCTTAGAATGCAGGTGGGACAGAATCAAACCGACGACCAGGTATTCATTGAGACGGAAAATAAGCGTCTCACTGATTTGTTGGCCGAAAAAGAAGCTTTGATCGAAAACTATCAGCGACAAAATTTGCAACTGCAAATGGCCGCCGCCAGTACTGCAGCCAACAGCAACAACATAAGTGCCACTCAGGCTGATCCTTTCGCGTTGGCATTTGGTCCGCCTGGCCAATCGAATACATCTGCTCCAGATACTTATGAACATGAACGCTTGACGCAGGAATTGAACGAAAAGAATTCGTTGATAAGCCGTCTCCAACAAGACCTTAATATACTTCAAGCCGAATTTAATACTTTACTCGAAGCCAATCATGAAATGCAACGCCAGGTCAATGAAAATCAACATGAAGCTGCAAGAATTCAGACAACACAAAGTGCGAATCAGACATCTTCTGCAGGGCAGGAATCCACCGATGTCATACCAGCACCCCCTATGTTCTTCACATCGGATTCGACGGTGCGCTCGCCTTTCGATGACATCATTCAAAGCAGCGTAAATCAGCAACCGCCTGTAGAGCAACCAACAATTGAGGATCTGCAACGCAATGTGTCCGATTTGGAAAAGCATGCACAGGATTTGGAACAAAAATTGGCAACACGCAATCAAAAAGATGCAGAACACGAGGATCGATTGCGGGAATTGGAGAGCCGTCTACATGAAAGAGAACTACTACTTCAACAATCCAAGGTTGAATTGAAGAATATCCAAGAAGAGCTAACAACCAAGCTTCTTGCCGAACAGAACGAAGTCAGTGCAATACGTCAGCAGATTACACAGCTAGAAGAAGTGCTTAGACAAAAGGATGAAGAATTGGAAAAATACCGTCGAGAGGAACGTGAGCGACTAGACGAATTGCATTTAAAGAAAACAATGCACTCATTGGAAAATCAGATTGTCCCTGATCCAGCCATACAACCCACGCTGGATATGTTCTTTGGCAATTCAAAGCAATCTCAAGATTTCAATCCATTTGTTATACCAGAGGTATCCACGGAACCAGTCGTGGAGGAACTTATTGTACCAAAGAAGGTACGTAGTTGTCATCCTGAAGAGAAACGCAACACGCCAATTTCAGTGCTCGATATTGGAGGAGATGATTGGGGTGCAGACGCTTGGGGAAATGAGGCCGCAGCTGAAGCTGAGCATTTTGCCAAACAATCGGCTACGATGACTGGTGCCTCACCGGCATCCGTCTCCCTAGTGCCCAGAGAACAACAGCTGGAAATACAAAATCAGGAATTAAATGAACGTCTGCAGGAACTACAACTCGCCCTTGAGCGTAGTGAAGACCAAAAGAAAGAACTGCACGTTAAATCGGGTAAACTTATGAAGAAACTTAAGGAGTACAAGGTCAAGATCGATGAACTTCAAACTTCCATGAATTCATCTGCATTCCGTAAGTCATCGTCAATTGAATCTGGCCCCTCGATGTTTGATGATTTGGACGCAGCTATTCAAGAGGAACTAAAGGGCCAAATAAAGGCGTTGGAGGTCAAACTGGACGAACAATTGAAACAGCAGGAACAATTCCAGACTGAGAAAGAGAAGTTGTTAAAACGAATTGACGTTTTGACTTCGGGCAATGAGCGCATGGCCGAAATGAAAGAACGTCAAGATATGGAAGTACAAATGTACCAGGCTCGCATTAGAGAATTGCAACAACAATTGCAAAGCCTTGATGATTGGGGAACAGACAGCACTAGCGAACCAGTACCTGCTCCAACCGTAGACGGTCCATCAGTGACCCAGTCGCCACCATCGTCAATCGATGGGGACCTGCAAGCTAAAATAAAATCTTTAACTATGGAAATACAAGATATTAGTGGTGACCGTTTAGAATTACAAGCCTTATTGGAAGAAGAGAAATCCAATTCACAGCGGGCAGAACAAACCATAGAATCTTTACGTCAAAAACTTGCCGCGTTGGAAGAGAAGACAACACACAACACAAATAATGAAACAACGCAGCTCAACAATCTTAAGATTGAGCTACAAAACCTTCAAGAATCCTACAATAGTCTTCTTGATTCAAATAAAAAGCTCTCCAGTGACTTTGCAGCACAAGCTGAAGTTTTGTCACTATCCCAAGCCAACGAATTGAGACTAAATTCGGAACTGGAAGGTCTGCAGAAGGAAGTAATAAATTTGAGAGAAACACTTAACAATACAAAACAAAGTTTGATTGACTTGGAAGCCGAATTAGCGTCATTGAAGGAGCAAAAGGAGAAACAACTGGACGCTGCCATACATAATCCATCCGAGACACCGATCTCTGATTTGGATCGTATACGTTTGGATAAACAGCAGTTGGAAGAGCACGTACAACACCTCATGCAGGAGATTGAAACTTTGAAATCGAACACATCCCAGTTTGAGCAAGAGCGTAAAATGTTGGAAGAGAAACTACAAACTCTTCAAAATGAAAACGAACAGCTCAAACAAAAAAATTTCGGAGGAGCGAGCAGTGACGAGCTATCGGCGCAATTGCAAGAGAAAGAATCTGAAATATTGCATCTGAAGCAGCGCATCAACGATCTGATGAACGAGGATCAGACTGAGAAGCTTGTTTTAGAAATCCTAACCAAAAATCAAGAAATTCAAATGCTGAAGCTTCAAGTAAAAGACCTGGAGGAAGACAAGCACGAATTAGAAAACAATCTGTCATTGCAATTGACCAAAGAAATGCAATCCAGGAAAGAACCGACAACTGGTTTAGCAAAGGAAAGGGAATTGGAAAACCAAATTAGGGATTTGTTGACGGAGAAGAAACAAATGGAGGAAGAACTGCAGGTGCTAAATAATCATGTACTGGAGAGTCTACAACAAGAGGACAAGATGAAAATGCTTACATTGGAATTGGATACGAAGAATGTAGAAATTCTAGAACTACGCCGAACAGTCGAAGCTTTGCAAAAGAATGGGGAAAGCAATGCCGGAACGGCCGCCGATATCGATGCACTCAATGCTCAATGGCAATTGGTTGTGGAACAGCGTTGTGGTGAAATTGCGAAAATGTGGCAGGACCATTTAGCGCAGCGTGAACACGATTTCAAAGCGCAAGAGGAAAGATTACGTGAAGAAATCAATGCCTTGAGAACGAACCAACCGCCCAGCCACTCTATAGACTCTGTACAACAAATTGTTTCTGTAGAAACCACATCATCATCAACTCCAGCATCGGAGTCTACCACAGCATCGGGAAGCACATCGGCTGAAGCCTCACACGATGGTACTCCCGTACGCATAAGGCCCAAGGGCGGAGAAGCTAGCGCTGATGCATTGATGGAACAGATGCAAAGAGCCCTAGAATCACAAGAAGTTGAAATTGTTACACTCAAAGAACAGCTAGCAATACGCTCGGCGGAATATGCTCGTTTAGCGGCACAATATGACCCATTCAAATTGCAAAACACAACGTCCCACATTGGTGTGGTGGATAAGCGCAAATCGACAAATACTTCCGATGTTACTCCCGTTACCAAAGCCGAATTGGACTTGGCCCTATATATGCTACACCAACGTGATATGCGTTGTGAGGAAATGACTTTGGAACTAGTTTCCCTCTTGGAAGAAAGAGATACATTGCAACTTAAACTGTCAAATACACTACGTCAAATGGAAGCAATGAAAGCTCAATTGGGAGCATCTCCTGATGGTAAATGGAATTGAATTGGAATGGTAATTGAATGGACTTTAGTATTTTTATTATTCTTATTTGCAGTTACGTCCTCCCCCGAAGGCATATCCACAACACAATTACCAAAAAGCCAGGAAATTAATGCAAGTAACATAGTTGCAGGTTCAACTCAAGCTACTGCAGATGATGAATTAAGTCTAAAGTGAGTCAGGCAGGCATCTCAGTATCGTCTAGTATTGAGACTATATAATTTGAGTTTTTATTATTTCATAGACTATCACAACTTCAGACTGTAAGTCACGCAAAGGATAAAGTTATCAAAGAGGAGCGAGAACAACGTATACGTCAAATGGAGAAGTTTCAACAGGATATAGCAAAAATGCCTCCAGCAGCTGTGTCAGAGCTAACTGGAACAGATATGTGTAAGTAAATCTGCATCGTTTACTTAATATATAACACTAACAACGTAACTTCTGATTTTTAGCCCAAGCAAATCAAGCCGCGCCAAATGTGTTACTTAACTGGTTGTGGGGCAACAAGACTGGCCAATCGGGAAGTTCCCAGCCAGATTTCTAGGCTAATATGTAGAAGAAGTACCTTATGGAATTCTATTAAAGTTAACTGACTATATTTTTTGTCGTACCGATTATCAAAATAACATAATTGCATATGCAATTTCTTCCTTTGTATGTACCGTGTATTCATATTTGTATATATCGTGTGAAATGATTCTAACGATCCGCCGGCATATCCCATTCCCCAAAGCATTGGTGCCTGAAAACTTACCAGTGTTACATTCGTTGGTTCGTTTAGAATTGTTTATCGCTGAAGCCAAAATGAGTTTGCAGATTTTGTTGGCATCCAATATATATATTAAAAAATAATAATAGCTAGACTTTTTTAAGATGTACGTTTCTAACTTTAATTTCAATTATGTTTAGTTTTATGAAAAAAATATAACGTAAAAATATCAAGCAAACTAATAAACATGTTATTTAGTGGAAACCTAATACTATTGTAGTTTTGAATTACATTGAAGTGAGTGGCAAGGTCTGTGTATTAGGTCATCCAGTAAGGCATAGAGATTCGTAAAAAATCAATCGTTTCAATTTTACAAAACAAAGTATCAATTGTGTTTTTTGAAGTCCGAAGTTTTTATTTAATTTTAAAGTAGGTGTTAATCAACAAAATTTCAGTTGAAACTTTATGACTTCATTTTTAATGTAGAACAATTAATTCGTAATTCAAACCATTTTATTAAATTCATGGCATTACATTTGTAATTCATAAAATTTTATAGCAAATTCATAACATTTAATTTCAAATGATTTCATTTCGAAATTATGTTATTATATTGTAAATGAAATACTACGAATTACAAAAACTATGTTCTGAATTACAAATGAAGTGTTATTAAGGGACTAATATAAATTTCAAATTTTATTTTATGACTAACAATTGAAATAATTTGAAATTCAAATGAAACTATCGAATTACAAATGAATTGGTGTGAATCGCAATTGGAATTCTCAAATTGAAAAATGGCGTTAATTATCACAAATAAATGACTTACCAAAATTATCTATTACAAAAGACAACCGTTATTTTATTATTTTCGGTAATAGTTAATATCCGTTTTATAACACAGTTATTATTATTTAAAAAATACAATTATTTGATAGTTTAGTAAAAACGATCAGAATTTCAAGAGGTAGGTATTTTTATCCTAATTATGGGGATATATTTTTTCTTGGGGGAAGTAACCAGTTACTTGACCCGGAAGTTCGGGTACGGGTACCCGGTTCTACGAATCCGATTAATACAAAATTGGTATCACTTTAAAGCTTATGAAAATACCTTTCCATTGTACATAATGCCACACCATTTTGAAAAGGACACATTGTAATCTTATCAGGTTCGACTTAAACGGAGTTTTTCAATGAAATCCAAACCCGTTCTTGTTTACTATATTTCCTAAACGGTTTGAGATATATTTTTTTCTTGGGGACTAAAAGGGGATTCTGTCGCGTAGAAAGAATTTCATTGTTTTTGTAGGGCTCTGAGGCCCATATCTATTGATCCACAACAGATACAGCCACATATCGCACCATTTTGTAAAGGGCAAATTGTGGCCTCTCATTTGAGTCAGGACTGCTGAGGACCCCATTTCAAATTTTAGCAGTTCCCAAGCAAAAAACTAAGAGAACTGATGAGGATTTGTGGCGAAATCCGAAACTATAGTCTTCTCTGCCTTTCCCGGAAGTAATCAATGTGACCATAACCCACTTTAAAAATAAAAATCTTATAATTTTTATTTTTAAAATAACAAGAAAGAGATCAGCTGGCTTACCTAAAAAAAGGAAACACACACATCCCTACAAACAAATGACATACTGAATCTAAAAAACTCTGATCGTTTTTACTAGATTTGTTTCGACACTTTTTTCGCGATGTAACGTTACTTCTTGAAAGTGACGCGGACGTGGTACATTTCTTCCAGAAGGAAGTGACTTCTGCGATGGGAATACGATTATCTTCCGCGACTGTTTCTATCGCCTAGGCGTTACGTCGACGTTACTTTGTAAATAGTTTTTGATTACAGGGGCCATTTATATTAAACCGAATTCCACAACACAAATCGAATACGTCGTCGATACTTTTTTGACAACGGATATCAGCGATGCTTTCCACATTTGCCAAAAGTTTTGCTCTCAGATGATTGTTTGGAAAAATTCTACTAACATTTATTTCAATGGAACTTGTGGAATTGATTTTTAACAAACTATTTCATTTAACAACAAATTATACACTGTTTCGTTTTATTCAGTCAGAAAACTTTAAAGCAAAGATCGATCAACCAAACCGCTAACTTTTGATGGAGTTGCCAGAGTATAAATTGCAATAGTCATACAAATTCAGGAATTAGTAGATCGGTAAATTTTTAAGAATATTTAATTTGCTGCAATTACTATGACATAAAAACCGCAGGGAGCCCAGCTGCTTTTCATGTTTACTGTGAAAATTCATTATGAAAAATTGAACGAAGACCAAATTTTTGACATTAGACTTGGAAGAAAACAGCCGACTTTCGCTAGTACGGTGACCTTATTAATAGATCTTGGTCGGGACCATGATGCAATAATAAGGTGATGTATCAAAACAAAAACATTTTTTTGTCTCGATTATCTGTCAAATTTTTCCTTATAATATTTCAAAAATTTGGCAGCATTGCACATCGAATTCAAGTAAAATTTACCACTTTGACAGTTAATCAAGACATCAGCTGCTCTAAATGGACTACCTATTCATTGTGCCATGGTCGGGACCATGGTACAATAAATAGATAGTCCATTTAGCGACGCTGATTACTCGACAAACTGTCAAAGTGTGTAATGTCTACTTAAATTTTATGTACAATGTTGCCAACAATGTGAAATTTTATAAATAAAAATTTGACAGATGGTCGAGGCAATTCTTCAATTTTTTTCCATCAAAAAACCGATTCTTGTATAAACCGATATATCGGACAGTCAATAAAAAATGACGTTCTCTTTTCCTATTATATTTGGAGGAGAACAAATAGTAAATAACAATGTCTGATTCCCTAAAGTTCAATTTTTATTATCGTATTTTTTATTTCAAACATAACTCAAAAAATGTCATATCGAACTTGACACGAGTATTACGATACAATCAAATAAACTTAGTATTGCAGTTACGTTGTATAATTTTACCATGATCAATTTCAAAGAAAATGAAAAATAAATTCCATAAAATTGTATGTATGTCGATTGGCATATTTTCAATAAATTAAACACAATATATTTTCTGAACATTGCTCAAGATTTAACCATGGTTGTTACAAATTCTATTTATACGTTTCGGAGGCAAGGGAACTTAAAAATATTTATAAATATAAATTATATAAATATTCTACAAAAATGTTTCAAAACCAAATTTCCATTCGATTATGTCAAAAGCAAAGGCATTTTAACAGCTCGGGTGAAATCATGTGCTCATATAGGACGACCTTATTATTGGGCCATGACCATGATTAAAAGTCGACTTCGACTTTTAAGGCATAAGCAGAATGGATCTGTTTAGCTTAAATTCATGCGTATGCGTACGAATTTATTCACCTCAAAAGTTAATTACATGTATTTCAATGAATATTACCCAAATACGCATTGCGTATAAAAATATAAAGTTGAAAATTTTCTACATTGACAATGCGTATTTTGGAATTTTTGTTTTTTGAAAAAAAAAATCTAGTCATTGAAAATTGAAATTGCAGTACGGGAACATACCAAATGTAAACATTTTTCGATCAATTAAACAAAATGTTTTCATCCATTTTCACTGTTTTCAATTGGCACAGATGCAAATAAAGTCTGCGTATTTGGGTAAGACGGACGTCTTACAAACCCTATAAAGGTGAGAAGGTGAGTATTTTTGTACGGAGCGCAATAAATTAGATACGACTCTTATATGTAAATTCGTTTCAAGACAGATATTTTTATAAAACAAATAGACCTTTTGTTCAAACAAAGGATTTGAAAAAATAAACTCATGAATTAAGGACTAAGCAGAATGCTCGCGTTGAGCCATCCGTCGCGTTATATGTTATCGAAAATACAACAACCACAAGGAAACGATATGCGTTTGTGTTATCGTTTCCTTGTGGTTGTTGTATTTTCGATAACACATAACGCATCGGATGGCTCAACGCGAGCATTCTGCTTAGCCCTTTAAGAATAATGTTGTATGAACGGCTTAATTCATGTACATAATTCTGAGAGCGAAAACGTTGTTCATGTGCTCGTCAGAACATGGCTCCCTCAGTTAAGGGGTAAGCAGAATGCTCGCGTTGAGCCATCCGTCGCGTTATATGTTATCGAAAATACAACAACCACAAGGAAACGATAACACAAATGCACATGGTTTTCTTGTGGTTGTTGTATTTTCGATAACATATAACTCGACGGATGGCTGAGCCATCATGGCTCAACGCGTACGTTCTGCTTAGCCCTTTATGGTAGCGTATATGGGTGAGCATGCCTTAAGACATTAGACGAAAAACTTTATAAACGTTTCTCGTACTGCAAGAATCTCCTAGTTTTTACTATAATAACAATTTCTCATTTATGATATCGACAACAATTTTTAAAAATTAGTAGATTCTTGCAGTACAGGAACATACCAAAAATAAAATATAAAATAATAATACATTTACATCATTGTTATAATAATCAATAATTGCAACATTTTATAGCGATAGTTTGATTGACCAAAGATCTATTAATAAGGTCACCAAGATAGCCAAGGGAGACCAGCTGATTATCGATACCTCTCAAGTTTGCTGTCAAAATGCATTATTGTGAATTGACTTCCATTATGAAAACGTAAACAAAGTCGAAATTTTTGACATTAGACTTGAGAAAAACCAGCTGTTTTCCGATTTCGATTGCTATCTTTGGTGACCTTATTAATAGATCTTGGATTGACCCATGGCCTATAAATAAGGTCACCAAGGGAGACCAGCTGATTATCGATACCTCTCAAGTTTGCTGTCAAAATTAATTATTGTGAATTGACTTCCATTATAAAAACGTAAACAAAGTCGAAATTTTTGACATTAGACTTGAGAAAAAAACAGCTGTTTTCCGATTTCGATTGCTATCTTGGTGACCTTATTAATAGATCTTGGATTGACCAAATCGACGACGGAAGATTATTCGATTATTATTTGGTCACTCAAAAATCGAATCGATTTGCCGAAAGTCGACTTAGGTATCCCTATTTCCAACATTGGGAGCGATTCATTCTGTTGGCGTGAGTCGGTGAGTGTGAGTGAGTGCGGGTCAATTTTGTGTTGCTTCAACGAAGAAAATAAAATACGAAAATAACGAATAAAAACAAAAAACAACAAGATTTTGTTTTTGGGTTTGTTTGAAGATATTTTGTTTTTGGTTTTTTATGTTGGGGAAAGAAAGGAAAGAACGAACGAACGAACGTGACGAAATAAAACAAATGATATCGAATGAATAGAAGAATCCAGTCGGGAACTTGTTGAATGCTTTAACACAGTGACAAACCAACAATTATTTGCAAGTGAAATTAAGATTGTTTAAATTTGTATAAAATTTTGATTGGATGTTTGTCGGTCCGGTAAGAAACAAGTGTAGTAAATTTGTGAAGATATTTGGGTCGTTGTCGCTGTCGTTGCCTAAAATCTCAAATAAAAGTAAAACGAGAAGTGCGATCGATCATAACCTCAATATATTAGCAAACAAAGTGAAGTGAATATTTTCGAATTGGGGTAAGAACCGGTGACCCAGAGTGAGCTGTTATAAAACTGCACTCGCGCACAGCTTCTTCGAAAATTCCCAACCGATAAAAGCACCATTATAAATCCACAATGGACCTTTTGTGCACGGAAAACATAATACACGAGTATGAAACGGAAACATTGTGTCACCACCAACAAACTCTACAAAAACAGTCAACGTCGTCGTCGCCGTTAAAAACAGAACAAAAACAGATCCATCAATCCGCAATAAGCAACAGCAGCAACAGCAATATCTCGCCAACGTCGCTGTATTCCAGCAGCTCATCGTTGTCATCGTCCAGCTGTTGCTCTTCAACGACAAACTCATCGGGATACAATTCGACCGGCAGCAGCAGTAGTAGCAGCAGCAGTGCCAGCAGTTGTCACTCGTCCAAGCTGACATGTGAGGAGAGTGCCAACTCGGCTTATTTGGAAACATGTGCTCCAACACAGCACCAACAACCGGCTCATCAAAACAACTCCTCCTCGTGCTCCGGCAGTGTGACATCATCAACAGGACAAAATGTCTACACAAATCACTTGATACATCGTTCTTTGGACTATGTCAATACCGCGACAGAAGATCCAACATTTTTGACCGATCGCTGCCTGGAAAATGCCCTAAAGGCTGAAGAGAAGAGACCCCAGCCAATTTGTACGTATTTCAAGACGATACAAAAGGACATTACCCCGCCGATGAGAAAAATTGTGGCCGAGTGGATGATGGAGGTATGTATTCGAGTAGATGTAATGAAATTTTCTGTGTCATACATTATTACAGATCGGTATAGTTTTGTAACCGTCTTACCAAATTAAATAGTATGCCACCATTGGACTTTCTGTGACCATCAACAGTATCTGTGGCCATCAACAGTACCCTCAAATCATTCATCTGACATGTGGAAAATCTCCCTGTAAAATGCAAACATTAGCAATATTTTGTAATTTGCAGGCGCCATTCTAATCAGTTAAACATCTACGACGAATATACACACATACATATGCATAGAAAATCTATAACCGCACAGAGGTTTTTGTTCTGAATTACAAAACAATTATTAAAATAAACAACGTTAGCGATTTTCAAGCTAAAAAACAACAAAAAGAAATTAACAACAACTAATCATTAACAATAGTCATGATCATCTAACGAAAACACCTACCTTCGGGCGAGAGATGTTAATGATTTATGAATAATTGAATTTTGTAGAAATAAAAAATGAAACGAATATTTAGAAATATTTGAAGCAATGGGTACAAATGCCTACCAAATTCAAGTATATTTGAAAGATGCTTTGTTAGATTAGGAATTATGACTACATTACAACAAGTACACTACAGAAATTATACTCACTGGAATTTATTGGTCATATAAATCGAAAGAAATAGTTTGGAATGGGTTACTAACGCAAATCCATCAGTCTGTAATTGGAACTATTGATCCAATTTGTATACATATTTGCAACGTTTTATTATATGTGGATTTTGTTTTTGATGTTCTAACATCATGGTGTCTAATGGTTTTAGTTATATTAGAAATCTGAATTTATGGACATTGTAAAATATAGTCGTACTTCCCAATATAGGGTCTCCAGTAGAGAACTATTTGATCTAAGAACTATTTGTGGCCTATGACTGTGCAGGAATGATATTAGTATTTCTATCCCAAAAATTATATGCAAATTCAACCTTTTATCGAATTTGTCAACATATGTTCCGATATAACCACGTAGCATTTTATGTTATTTATTGTCAATCAAACAATTCTTTTCCCCTTTTCTGCTCGGTTCTCTTTGCTAAATTCAAATATTAGGTATAAATGTTGAGTGTGTGAGTATTAGTCCCACATTTTTTGGTTTAATTTTAGCACATCGTTCTATTGTTGTTATTTTTTTTGTATATGTATTTTGTTATCAAAGAGAAGCCACCATTTTTTGTTTAATCACACTAAATGGCAATGTTCCAAAGAGCCCAAAACGCATGGAGGAAGTCCTCAGAATATACAAAAATGATGTGCATATTTATATGTCATATAATCCAAATTGTTTCGGCTGCTTCGGGATTTTCCCATATGAACTTAATAGAGGGTGAAAGGTACGAAACTCTTGATAAAATGTTAATCCTAAACATTTATCAACTTTCTTCAGAGCACAGCATTTTAGTGCAATATATTCGTTCTGCTTCTGCTTAGAGAGAAAGTTGTTATCACGTCAATAGAATATTTGTTGAAGATTTTGATTAAGTAACATCATGAATATTAGAGTAGACTGGACTTGAAATAAGAGATGTTAATATTCTGATATATTACGTTTTTATTATTTGGTTGTTAGATTTCGTATAAGTAGTCATTTAAGAATGCAGGTTTACTTTCCAAGAAAAAAGACAGGACAAAATTAATTGTATGAGATTTTTTTAGTCTCTGTTAATAACCCAGCGATTACCATTCTGGTTAAATACTAAAAATCCAATAAGGATTTTCCATTTCTTAAAACAACATTTACCAATATGCCAAGTAAATGAAAACATTTTCCAGTTGTATATTCTTGAAAGAAAGACGCGCGTGTGTTTGTGTGCTCTCAGCACCCTCTTGTAAGTGCTACCTCAACTCAACCCTTAAACAACTATTTGCGAAACGTTGCCGTTCATTGTTAAAAACAAAAATACAAGCAACCAACCACCACATGTTGTTGATACAGCAGTGACCTCGTCGTATTCATCATTATGACAATGACGACTACGACGAATGAACAACTTGTTGAGACTTCGACGACAGATGCAAGTATAAAGGCAACCAACCCATAATAAGTGCGACGGGTATCGCAAGCAAGCCTTCAGATGTAAGAAACAACATGTTTTTGCCTTATGTAGTCCTCATTTTATTCCTTTGAACGGACACCTTTAGTGGTTTCCTGTAAGTCCTTGCAAAGACCCTTCATACTTTGCGAAATATTGCAAGTTTTTTAGTTTTCTTGTCGTTTGGAAATAACAAATGCAGCTGCTTGTTTTCACTAAATTTACACAGGTTTACAAATTTTTGTCAACATTCAAAAGAGAACCAATAAGTTTCGTATTTACTTGCTTTAATATAACGTACAATCGTTTTAATTTCTTAAGTATTGAAACATGGAGTAATATTTGCGAACCAGAGCTAGATTTTGTTTTATTTCAAATAATCAAAAACTCGATAACATTTACGTAGCAAAGCAACATGTACAGCAGCATGTTAAGAAACGATGGAAATTGAGCCTCGAAATCCAAAGACGATGGTGGTAGTTTTTAATTTTTTACCTGTGCTTCGTTTTTGGTCTTGTTAATCGGTGAGAATGTGATCGTCACAACATGTTCTGTGGCTGCTAGTTGTGTCGTGTGCATACAATGTTTTGTTCTATTAAAATTCATAAGCGTGGTTTTATATTTGTCGGGATCGGGATCGGTGTTGAGAGTTTCTCTCGAGAGAGAGAGTAATTAGAGTTGCGCTATTTTTAATTTTGTAACAAGCGTACTTTTTGTTAACAAAAGGTACGAATTGACATAAACGTACCAAAACAAAAATTAGATTTTTTTATTATTCGTGAATACATTTACGCTTAAATTATAACATATGTTATTTATGCAAATAACTGGTATAAATATTGGCCAATATTTCTCGATAATTATGATTTATTATCATTTGAAGTAGAATTTTAGGTACCTTTTCGTACTTTTTTGTTCCTACCTGTGGCAATGTTTTCCAACACAATTCACAATTTACCACTGAGAGAGAGAGAGAGACTCTCAACACCGATCCCGATCCCGGCAAATATAAAACCACGCAAACAAAAATACAAGCAACCAACCACCACATGTTGTTGATACAGCAGTGACCTCGTCGTATTCATCATTATGACAATGACGACTACGACGAATGAACAACTTGTTGAGACTTCGACGACAGATGCAAGTATAAAGGCAACCAACCCATAATAAGTGCGACGGGTATCGCAAGCAAGCCTTCAGATGTAAGAAACAACATGTTGTTGCCTTATGTAGTCCTCATTTTATTCCTTTGAACGGACACCTTTAGTGGTTTCCTGTAAGTCCTTGCAAAGACCCTTCATACTTTGCGAAATATTGCAAGTTTTTTAGTTTTCTTGTCGTTTGGAAATAACAAATGCAGCTGCTTGTTTTCACTAAATTTACACAGGTTTACAAATTTTTGTCAACATTCAAAAGAGAACCAATAAGTTTCGTATTTACTTGCTTTAATATAACGTACAATCGTTTTAATTTCTTAAGTATTGAAACATGGAGTAATATTTGTCTCGAACCAGAGCTAGATTTTGTTTTATTTCAAATAATCAAAAACTCGATAACATTTACGTAGCAAAGCAACATGTACAGCAGCATGTTAAGAAACGATGGAAATTGAGCCTCGAAATCCAAAGACGATGGTGGTAGTTTTTAATTTTTTACCTGTGCTTCGTTTTTGGTCTTGTTAATCGGTGAGAATGTGATCGTCACAACATGTTCTGTGGCTGCTAGTTGTGTCGTGTGCATACAATGTTTTGTTCTATTAAAATTCATAACACAAACATCCTCTGAAAGATTGAAAAGGAAAATTCAACGAAGGAATACATTTTTGTTTTTGCATGTCAAAAGGTGATCGTCGGAAGGATGGCAGAAATCCTTTAAAGGACATGGCGTCTTTTCTGCATACGTATTGTAAGAATGTCTGTACGTATAATTTCTCAATCGCTGATTCCAAAGGCAAAACAGTTATTGTTTATGGTATTGTTTGGCAGTCAAGGAGTTGAGTACAGCCAGCTAGGAAACAAGCTATTATGTACAGTTGTTACAGTATTCATTGGGTATTTGTTCATAACACGATGATACTATCGGAAGAAAGTGAAGAAAAGGTTTAAACTAATTTCAATACAACTTTTTTTAACTTGTAGAAAATATATTTACGTGTTTTGTTAAGGTTCTTGAATTCATTTTTTCGTCCCCAACTCCATCCCCCCACTGTTTATAAAATCTGTCACCAACAAACATTGTTGCTGACATTTAATTGCGATTGAAGCATTTTTATTTTGTATTTGGTTGGAAAAATGTCTTTCTAAAACAATATCCATCCATGGCACGCTTAGCCACTCATGCCAATGAACTCAACTGCTGGAATTTGCAAAAAAATAAACCTTCAACTTGAAACGTTACTCAATATTATAAATTCTGGCTACAACGAAAACGTTATATCGGTGTTGGTTGATTTGGCTAACGTTGTTTGGTTGGTGTGTCGTTACTGTGTTCAAAAAAATGATTTTAAAATAAATGATTAACATTGTGGAAAGTAAACAAATTTGAAAAATTATCAATTTCGAATACAATTTCAAGGATATATAATTTTTTACTAAACTTAAGCAATTTTAGGATAAGAATATTTTACGAGACAACTTTTCGGTTCATTTTGTTATGAATATATCGCTCAATTGCTGCAAGACCGGCATAGATAAACAAAAATCGATTTTGTAGAAAATGTGTTTTAAGTTTTGAATTTACCCATTCATTACACGGAACAGAGGAACTTCTACCGCTTCTCAATCAGAGTGTGTAAGAGATATTTATTTCCTTTTTTTATACAACATGAAGTCTTACATATCACGATTTTTGATTTATGCCGGTCTTGTACTACAACATCAAATACATTTACTTTAATATATCGCCCGCCCTGCACTTGTAAATTGGCACATCAA